ACAGCTGGCACCTGTTAACCATCATGCCTGGGAGTTGATTATAATGAGATAATACAACAGATAGCTGTGTGGGGTGGTCCAAGAGGAGGGCCTGGGACTGAGGGGTGTACATGGGTGGTGATTCCAGCCCACAACCTTTGAATTCCACCAGGGGCCTATTTCAAACCCCTGTGAGTAATATCTTGGGAAGCTTCAATGTGTCATTTTCACAGAGGTAAGGCTACAGTTGCACCAGAGCTTAGACTCTTCTGAAAACTGAGTGTCTGAAATTTGAAGCATGACTTTTTGCAGGGAACTGGAATCTCTATCAAAATTGTTAGCTGCCTGATTCATTGCAATCCCCATGCACGATGCACAATGGAACAAAAGGCTGTTCAGTCTTAGACCACTCCCACAGTTCTGTGATCTTTGTTTCTAGTCCATCTTTGTATAGAAGCTCTTCTGGCATCAGAGCCACACATAAGCCACACCAACAGATGAGTGGCTGCTGTACAAGTGATAATTCTACCACCAAACCACTTCTTCCCCTTACAGCTGTTCCAATAGGTCTGCAGTTCATGAAGACCTGCATCATGGCCTGCATACAGCCTGTCCTGGAGCATACTTTATGTATATTCCATGAGGACGGATGTTCTTTGCAGGTAATGGGTGGCCTGTTCTAGAAGAGTCAGTCAACTAAGTTGACTGTATTATTCCGAGGTTTTTTTAAAAATTAATTTTAATGAAAGTTTACAAAGACTTAGGGTTTCCATTTATTCATTGTTGCACTTATTCAAGTTTTAAGCAACATTTCTGGTTTAGCTGTTGCAATCAATTTTTGGGGGGGAACAGTGAAGACTGACTGCAATCAATTGTCTATTTCTAGTGCTTTAGGGATTGTTGGGTTCTACTGTGAGGTACACATACATTTGTAACCCTCATTTTTTCAATGATGGCCTTTTCCTCATAATGAATGCCTCTTTGGTTCTAGTAACATTTTTCTCTTTAAAAGATTATTAGATATTAGCATAGTCAATCTAACTTTCCTATAGTTATTGTAAGCATAGCATATTTTTCTCTAGTCATGTTACTTTTAACCTATTTCTGTCCTTGAGTCTATAAGTAATGTCTCTTAGGAACATCTTAGTTGGCTTTGGTTTTTGCTTTTATTTTTTAAAAGGGTCTAAGGTGGAGGGACAGCGCAGGAGGGGAAGACCCTCTATGAGGTGGATTGATTCAGTGACTGGGGTAATCGGGATGGGTGTGTCAGAAGCAATGAGATTGGCACAGGATAGAGCAGGGTTTAGGGCTGTTGTATATGGGGTCGCTATGAGTCGCAAACGACTCGACAGCACATAACAAAAACAACAACAATCTGACAGTCGGGTGCTGTGGCGGTAGTGTAGTTCACAGGGAGTCATGCTGCTAATCCTAAAGCTATGCTTCTCTGGAAGTTCAAATCTACTTGTGGCCCCTTGGGGAAAAGATGATGAACATAGCCTTCAAAACCCAACAGAGGATCCATTACAAGTTCACTCTCACTCAACAGCAATGAGAGAGACAAATGAATATCTAACAGTAGAGTGTGTTCAAATGAAATCTAATTCATTAATTAGTATTGTTGGCTGTTTCTGTGTGTCTTCTTTCTACTTCCTGTCCCTTCTTGAAAAGCCTTGTTACAATAATTAAAGCAGCTAGCTATTAATCAAAAGGTCAGCAGTTCAAACCCATTAGCTGCTCTGACATGGCAACATCTTTCTGTAAAAATTTTAGACTTACAAATTCTATGAGACTGTTCTAACTCTATCCCATAGGTATGTAAGAACTGATGACAACATATGTTGAATTTGGCTCCTCCTTGAACACTTTCTTCTGTGATTCTGACTGGTGATTTAGGAGAATGTTAAATGTTACAGAGTACAACTGTTCCCTATAATTTTCTTGACTATAATCTTTACAAAAGCAGATCCGAAGAGGTTTTGTGGCCCCACTGAATGAGCTCAAACTGAAGAAACTTTGGTTACCAGCTGAGTGCAAATCATTTGCACCACTCAGGGACCTTCTAACTGCCTTCTGTATTGATTATTTTTAGTGTACCACTTCAACTCTTTTGTGGGGTTGGTGTTGGGATTTTTTTTTTACTATGTAATTTTAAGTTATTTTCTTAATAGCTGCTCTAGGGATTAGTTAAGCATTTTATCACAATCTACTTCAGATTGATACTAACTTGATTCAAGTGAAAGTACACAAACTAATTCAAATAAAGAGTAGAGGAGCTGTCACTAACACTCTCCCAGTTATTTTCATGGTATGCTGGAAATGGACAGAGACTTTCTAGATACACATCATCAGTTTCCCCCCCTACCATCCTAACAAGGCACAGCTATCGCCACATTCTCCAAATAAAGGGGAAGGACTGAGAGCCTTGCTCAGAACACTAAGAAGTATGATTAGAATCCAGTCCTGCCTGCTTGCTTCAAACCAGGGCTCCTGCCATGTCTTATATGGCTGTCTCAACAGCAGACATCTCCACAATGCCATGAAGACTTCCCTAGTCCTGCAGGAGAACCAATCACAATCCTTCTCATTTCTCACAAGTCACCTCATTCCAATCAACTTCAGAATATAACATCACACTGTCTGAGTGACTGTCATTTGGAAGAAGATCGGCAGTAGGAAAATAAGACCCAGAGGTGAAAGGCCGCTCCACAGAAATGTGATCCACAGGGTTTTTGCTAGCATTTTTCAGAAGTAGATCTCGCGGTCTTTTTTCTGTGGGGACTCTGGGTGGACCCAAACTGCCAATCTTTCTTCACTAACAGCTAAGTGTGTTTATCATTTTCTACCCCGGCAGACTCTCCAGAAAGCAAAACTAGACAGAAAAGGTCTTTTTAGCAGAAATAACAAGCATATCTCCCCAATAACAGGAGCTAGATTTTCTCATTTATCCCAAAGGAAGTAGAAATTTACAAAGTAATTTTAAGAATTTACAAAGTTGTGAGACCAACAATCTGGTTCCAATATGAAGTTAACACAACACTGCAAATTAAAACTTTCAGAGGGGCTGCTTTACACCATGTGGATCTCCCTGTGTATGATACCAACTTTTTTTGTTCAAAACCCTAGACCAGAGAGGCTTGAAATGGAGTAAGCATTTAGCCACTCAAGCTCTGCACCAGCCATCCTAGTCAAAGACTGCAGAAGGTCCAGGCTTTGCAGGACTCTTAAATGAAGCAAAAGAAGGCTATCTCCAACACACTTTCAAAGTGATGAGGCCAGACAGAAACATGGGTGGGCATGCGCTCGTTGGACGCTCTGTGGCATGTCCCTTTACCAGCACTATATAAGAAGGAGTGGACAAAGAAGTTCCTGGCTGCTCTGTGGGAATAGATTCTGAATCTGAACTTTTAGTAGGAAGAAATGTTTCTAAACAAAGACAACGGGTATCAATTACAAAATTAGCAAAGGACATGAATATGGATAAATGCTTCACCGAAGGCATTCAGGTGGCCAAAAAAAACCCCATGAAAAAATGCTCGAGATCATTTGATATTCAGAAACAAAAAAGTTCATTGTTGCCAAGTCGCAATCAACTCATAGCTGACCCTCCAGCAGGTTTTCAGAGGTTGTAGCTGGTGGATTTGAACTCCCCACCTTTGAGTTAACAGAACTCCCTACTGACTAGGCCACCACAGCTCCCTATTAGAGAGATGATACAAATCAAAACAATGATGTATCATCATCTCGCCTCACCAACAGTGAAGTTCAACAAGAAAGCAAACAGATGCTGGAAAGAATGTGGAGACATCAGAACTCTCATATACTGCTAGTAGAAATGCAAAATGGTGTCACCATTATGAAAAGCAGTATGGTGCTTCCCTAGAAAGTCAGGAATAGAAATACCATTTAATTCAGCAATTTCATTACTAGGCATATACATCCCAAAGAAATATAGTTGGAGGCGAGCTCTGGTGGCCTATTGGCAAGAAGCTACACTTCAATCCCAGAGGTACACGGTTCGAATCCACCAGATGCTGTGCTGAAGAAAGAGGGACAATCTCCTGTACCAGTCTGATCCGATTTGATGGTACACACATAAAAATAAATAATTAAAAAAAAAATATATATATATATATTTGGCGAGAAATATAGTTACACCCATGTTTACTGCTGCATTATTTATAATAGCAAAGAATTGGAAATAATCCAAGTGTTCATCAACTGATCTGGTATACTCATACAATGGAATATTATGCATCATTTTGAAAATATCAGTAATTCATGAAATATTGTACAATATGGATGAATCTAGAACAAATTACGCTGGGTGACGTAAGTCAAGTCACAATAAGGCATAGTATAAGGTCACTAGTCTAAAAACTAAGAAAAGGTTTACATAAACATCAATCTTAGAGAGCTAACAGGGATTTAAAATGAGGGGAGAACAGAATGAAAATAAACGGATAAAAACTGGGTGATGGAAAAAACAATATACAAAAAGGGGTAGATTAGACACTAATTAATTACACTAATCAATTGTAATGTTATAAAACAAAGTATCTATAAATAACTATAAAAACTCAAAATGATTTGTAAACCTTTAGAACCTTAAAAATGCAGGTCATCATAGAAGTCACTTCTGAGTAACCACTCCTGAGAGGAGAAAGACCAGGAGAGGGCACAGAGACCTTAGGAGGGAGCAGTAGCCTTGCTCAAAGTACTTGGAGGTGAGGGTGAAAGCAGCTAGTAAGTTCCCTCACCTTGACATACACACATGGAAAGCATCCCAGATTATAAGCATTCCTATCCTGCCCCTATTCCATTCAAACACACCTAGCTCCTCATCTGCAGATGGGAAAAGCCAGGAAGAACAACCCTACGTGGTTAAGCTGTTTTGTTCCTGTGCCCACTCATCTCTGTATGTGAACCTGCCTTCACCGGTTCCTCATCTTTGTTCATGGCCATTTCCCCCTACTCACATCCCCATCCATGGCTGTGACTCCACCCCCAAGCCCACTCACCTCTGCGAAGTACGCATGTCCACAGGTCCATCAGCTGCCTGCCCTTCACCTGTCTCACCAGCTCTGGGCAGCGCTGGGACCAGGACTGTGCCTGATTCAGCCCGTACTACCATGTCAGCCTCTGTTGTGGAATCTGAGGCCACCAGTCCTCCATCCATCTTTAGTCTCTTGCCATCAGCATCATCCTCAGTTGGGTCCCGCTCAGGCGCCCGTTTCTGGCCTCGGGTCCGGCATGCGTCCTCAGTCATCCTGAACTGTGGGGGAAAGGTAGCACGTTAATTTCATGGAGAATTTCACCCATAGGAACATCCAGAATTTAAGAGAGTGTGTCTTCCTCCAACAGGGCTATGGTAGAAAAGGAAGTGGGAAAGATGTTCAAAGCGCCCATAGGAACATATCCATTGTCTCAAGTAGGTGTGACAAAGACAAGGACCAGCCTTCATGCTGGAAGGCCAAGCTACAAACATCTCACTAGGGCTGGTGACGAGCAGGCCAAAGTGAACCAGGAAAGCTCCACACTTAAGAGCAAAAGGAGGACAGCAACCCAGGTTTGTTCACCTGCCCATGAGGCTACAAGCACCCAAGCCAAGTTCTGGGCCTGGGACAGCCTACACTGCCTAGGGCCAGGGTTCACTCCTGGATGCAGCTCTCCAAATGATACTCTGTACTCTTCAGCAAAGTGCAGTGTTTTCACTCTGACTCACCTAATGGCACATTTAACCCTCTGACTGCCAGTGGGTAAACCTTGGACTAAACCTAGCAAAGGGCCCCAGACCTGCCCTGAACCTGCAGCACACACACATCTTGGTATAAAGAAGGGGGAAAAAAGAAGAAGAAAAAGTGCTGAGTCAGCTTTTGATCTCATGACATCACTGGGCTCCACATGACCCTTCCCAGGATTCTGTCTGAGAGACAAAGCACTTTCCAGAAAACCAGTCTGAACCGGTTTCAGACAACAAGCTGAAGTGCTGTTAACCCTCACAGAGACAGGACGACAGAGATGTCTGTCTTACACACTGCTGGCATTCCACAAGAGGCTCTTAAAGGGGCCACTACAGAGGACTGTCTGGGTGACAGGGCCAAGAAGTGAGGAGCCAAAGAACCAAAGAAGTTTGCAGATAGACAGAACAGAGATAGGACCACAAGACTCCCACAGGAAGATAGCTGCCCAAAGATCAGGTGCTTCCAAGTGCACACGCAGGGCAGGGCATGGAGCTAGGTGAGTGCTACCGTAACAGAGCTACACTGGCGCCTGTATAGGAATAGTCACCACAGGACGCCTCTGTTCTTAGTGTGCAGGCAAGCCACCTGTCTCACTACTCTGAGAGTCTTCCTGTGACAATGAAGGACCATTGTTTTGTGCTAAGTAACATTTAAGGGGCTAGACCCCTCCTTCCTGCGTCAGGTCAGCCTAGCCTGAGGAAACGGGGCCTATAATGGGTCCAACATGCACCTTAAGGACTCCAAGTCCCAGCAGCCCACACATATTTCCACAGTGTTGGCCAGGCCACCATGACGCAGCTCAGCTTTTAAGCCTAACAGAAATACATACCAGGCCAGAAGCTGAATGATCCAGCCTCTATGAGATGCAATCTCTACTGCTGAGCCCCTTGTGGGGCCCCACTCTGGATCATCCTTGGCCTCGCACTAGTCTCAAAGATCCTGAAGAGCTGCCCATCTCATTTGGCCTGAGAATGAAAGAACACTGAATTCTAACATCCATAGTTCTAGTCTCCTGCCCTTCACTATAAGCCATGGCAGATTTGATTCTGGATTTTGACACCCATCTGCCCCATAAGAGAAGAACAGAAGAGGTAAGAGCTTAATGTTCTTGTGACAGAGAGCTAGCACCAGCATTTTCAGGTTAGGGACAGGCGACATGTCACTGCAACAAAGTGTTGGTCACTTGTCTACCTGTCCCCTCTGTGGACAAGACTCTCTCAAATAAGAAGATGGACTAAGTTTGATGAACTGGTAACAAGCTATTTTGCATGCTGCAAATGACACAACTCTAAGCCCTGTTTTAGTGAAAGAGCATGGGCAGGAGTATTCCATGCCCCTTACTCTGGAAGACCCCTAATTTAGCCTCCAACTTCATACACCCTTCGCTTCATCTGGTTAAGTCTGTGAAGCTAACCTAAGCCTAAAGTCCTTCATGAGTTTTGCTACCTGCACCTGGGCACACTGAGGGTCCATGATGAGTATGTGCAACATCCACCCAGTAAGGCTTCTCTGCAGCCCCCAATGCATCCAGATGTGGTGGAGATGGACTCTGGTCCATGACTCCTGTGTGTCAAGGAGTTTATGATGAGTAGAGACTTGACACTTTGCCAGAGATTAATGGCTGCCTCCAAACCCTGACATACCTACTTGCAGTGACTTAGGCCTACACCTCCCATAACAGATACGCATAGCTGGACAGAGTGGGACTCAGTAAGGGATCAGTCTCGGAAGATGGCCCCACTTTGTGCCTGCCGGACGCCAGGCCCCCCCAAAACAATGTGATGTTGCAATATGTTGTTGCTGCGTGCTGCATAAGGCTTGTATTTGCCTTAATCCCCATGGTGATGGATCATGGGCTTCTGGAAAGGGCAGTGTTAACTGGTGGAAGTCTCCGCCTTCCTCATGGCAGGGAGGTCAAGTAATTCATCCCAAGGGGCTGGAGGCTCTGGAGAGGGAAGGCATGAGCAGGGATGAGGTGGCAGAGCAAAGGAGAAATAAGAAGAAACCAGAAAAAAAAAAAGAAGAAACCAGAATACACATAAGGACTAGGGAAAAGAGTAAGGGCAAGGATATAGAGCAGTACTCAGGGACCAGAGCTGCATCTAATCAGATTATCAGAGAACAATAGCTTTGAGGATTAAAGAATGAAAAGAAGGCAGCAAAAATTGATGAAGTGTACACTCAGAGCCTTCATAAAAATCAGGTGAAAGTGTTGGACAACTGACTGGGAGTTGTTTCAGAATTCTTGGTAGGCAAGAACCACAAGCCAAGGGAAAAAAACAAAAAACAAGCCAAGCAACTCCAAGAGCAAAATCACCCAGGACTGTCAGGGTCCCTGTCTGGAGGTCCCTCCTCTAGGTGCTGCAATAGGAAGAGTTCTCACACCACTGTGCCTATTTTACAAATGAGGCCACCAGGGACCAAGGAGCTGCTAAGCAGAAGCATGGGGGTCTGATACGCACAGCCCTATGATTTTATTTCTCTCTCCATGTATCTTGGCCCACCAAAGGCTCCAGGAAGGGCTCAGTGGAATTGGGAATCCCTAGGAGGCTGGGCTCCACCTCAGTCCTGAAATGTTGATAGTCAATAGGTTTTGGATGTTATGCACATGTCACTGACATCCACAAAAGTTGATGTCTTTTTGTGAAATGCATTATCCAGCTGTCTGAGAGCCTTAGGCTCACACACAGACTTGAAACAACTTTGTAAAAAGCATGCTGCGCTGAGGCTGGACTCCAGATTTTTACATGGAGCACTGGAGGCTTACTACATACCAACAGATATCTCATGATAATTAATAATTTTAAAAATGACTCCTTTCAGGCATCTCACTTCCTGATTTCAAATCCTATTACACTGCTGTCGTAGTTAAGAAGCATGGTACTAGGGGAGCTCTGGTGGCCTAGTGGCAAGAAGCTGCAACTACAATCCCAGAGGTGCACGGTTCGAATCCACCAGATGCTCAGCTGAACTCATTCACTATTATTCAAAAGGGGTGATCCTGGAGGACATTATGCTGAGTGAAATATCTCAGTCGCAAAAGGACAAATATTGCATAGTGCCACTGCTCTAAAATGGGACTGATATCAGGGTGGGGGTAAGACTGAGAAAAACTGGATAAATTGTGTATACTGCACTGAAACAGATGAGGGACTGAATAATTTAAAAGCGATGTATGATAGGGTATTATGGTTATCACAAGAGTCCACAATTAAGGCTGCATAGTGGAATTTTCTTGGGGCAGTGGGAGGGGTGCGGGGGGGATTGTGTACCAGGGAGGGAGTCTTTCTTTTACTTTTGAAAGAGAGGAGCGGGCTGGGTGGGTAGAGAAGTGCAGCAATGAATGAATGGAAATCCAAATTCTCTGTAAATGTTCATTAAAATTATTAAAAAACAAACAACAACAAAAAAACAACACACTGGCCATGCAAGGTCTTTCTGCAGTTTCCACATGTTTCAATTCGTCCCTCCAAATGTGTGTGTGTGTGTGTGTGTGTATACCAGAGAGCCCTGGTGGCCTACTGGTCAGAAGACACACTGCAATCCCAGAGGCATACCATTTGAATCCACCAGCTGCTGTGCAGAAGAAAGATGGACAGTCACCTCTCATGAGATTAACTGCCTCTGAGAACCTGTTGCAGGGTCAGCTGTGAGTCAATTCCCACTAGCCAGCACACAACAATAATATGAAAACCAGAATCTGGTGAACAAAAGGTTTGTAAAAGGATTAAGGGTGGAATGCCATGTATAGTGCTAGTCTGACGTAAGAGGTGTTTCCATGGGGTGTGCCTGTAATATCTTTTATCTTCCTAGAGATGAAAAAAAAACAAAAAGAAAATGAATTGGATGTGGAGGGTAGGAGGGGTGCTGTCAACACTGTTGTTGTTATGTGCCATCTCTTGAGACTCATAGCAACCCTAAGTACAACAGCTCTGAAACCTGCTCTATCCTGAGCCAACCTACCCCCATTACCCCAGGCACCGAATCAATACTGAATCAAAATTCTTCCTCTCCTATGTTGTCTCTCCACCCTCCCAAGCATGACGTCCCTCTCCAAGGACCCCTTTTAAACCCAGCCTGGACTTCTGGCAGTTCTCTACTGATGTGCTGTTCCAGTCGTTTTTTAATAATCTTCAGTAGAATCTTGCTTGCATCCTATTTAAGGTGTTTAGTGAAAATCCTAAACAAAGGGTATATACATGGTTTAAAATCTGGAAAAATATGCATCAGGGTTGTATCATCACTCTGTATGCAGAGCAAATAATTTGAGAAGCTAGACTAAGAAAAATGTGGCATCAGGATTGGAAGAAGACTCAATAACCTACTTTATGCAGATGATAGAACCCTGCTTGCAGAAAGTGGAGAAGACTTAAGAATACTCATAGAAGAAGATCAGAGTACAGTCTTCAATATTAATTGCAACTCAGCATTAAGTAAAAAGAAGTCTTCACAATTGGACCACTACACAACATCATGACAGCTGGAGAAATTATTAAAGTTGTCAACTATCAACAGCCAGTGTATC